ATAATGTACAGCTCATGGAAATACGTTGGCTGAGCTCTTTTGCATTGCAATTATGACAAAATAAAAGCATTTCAAGATCTGCAATTACTGTATTTCCTAAAAATGAATAGAGAGGTCACTGGATTGCAATTTATGTTTAGTAATCATGGTGAGTAAATATATTTTAAAAATTACATCCTAATTTAAATGCCAATTTTGAGTCAGGGATTAAAAAAATAATTTGCAAGAATGAGAGATTGTACTGGAGAATCAGTAACTGGACAAGCTGGAGATGACAATCTTAATTTCCGTGGGCATGGAATTCAATTGTGAGATGGTGGCTGTATTGCTGGCAGTGAAATTAGCAGGATGTTAAGGTGATACTGGACACTGCAGGGTTTGGTTGTAATGAACATGCTAGAACTTATTGTTTTGGGATAGAGAATCACAAGATTTCTACTGGCAGTAAATAGCCCGATAATTGTAGCAATGTCTGTGTAATAAAAATATTATCAAAGGCTTGAATTTTGTAAGGTGGTAACTGATTAAAATGTCTCTAATTGTATTGGTTGATATATTTTTCTCCATGTTTTGACTCAATATTTACATATATTATTAAAATATTCAGTTTTACCTCATTTATTTTTGACATATCATTTAATATTAATACAGTAGAGTCTCGCTTATCTAAAATAAACAGGCTGGCAGAACGTTGGATAAGCAAAAATGTTGAATAATAAGAAGGGATTAAGCAAAAGCCTATTAAACCTCAAATTATGTTATGATTTTACAAATTAAGAGCCAAAACACCAAGCTTTACAACAAATTGACAGAAAAAGCAGTTCAATACATGGTAACGTTATGTAGTAATTACTGTATTTATGAATTTAGCACCAAAATATTGCAATGTATTGAAACAGCTGTGGATCCAGGCGGGAAGCAGACTGCGTTGGATAATACTGAATGTTGAATGAGCAAAGGTTGGATAAGCGGGACTCTACTGTATAATGAAAATTTGCAAACATGTATTTCTTAATATTATAAATTCTTGAAAAAGATGCATAAATAACGATTAAAACATGTAATGTTGGTTTATGTCTTGCAACTCTAATGTTTATAATATGTTGCTGCTATGTTAATTGACTTAGGTCATTGCATATAAGTTGATAGAAAAGATTAGCAGCAATATGTGCTGATCAGTGTATACAGAAGGGACTAAAACAGCATAACATTGGATTCTTCTGTCAGTACTTACTGAATCTTCCAAGTTGCAGTTGGCACCTTTCTTTATTAATTCTTGGACAATTTCTAAATTGCCTTGTTCAGCAGCTATCATTAACGGAGTCTGACCACTCTGTAATTATATGAAAAAAGTGCTTGTGCTGAAAAACACTAATAGAATAGTAACTGTTTTTATGAAGAATACTGAACATTTTATGATTTCTGACAGCATAGGACATATATTTTCCTTGGCTTCAAAGAAACATTTTTTTTGCCATATCACAGTAGAATTTTCTTCAGAAATACCATGAGGTTTCTGGAAAATGCCTACATATAAGCTGGTAATCTTCCACTCAACATTTAGATGAGCATTAAATCATTTCCATTTCAAACTATTTTTTTGAGTTCTAGGCATTCAGTCAGTGATTACAAGTTGTCAGCTGATCTTACAGGCCATGACTACTAAGCAGCATGATTTCTTGAAATTTAGTAAAAGTCAAGTTCCTTCAACGTTAATTTTGTATAATATATTGCAACACAACTGGAGATTAAATAGAAAAACAAATATATATATTACCAATGGGAAAATAAGTGGTCAGAGTGGTTAAAATTTACATCATGTTACAATCTTAAAAACAAATTGTATATGTATAAAATAGCATATCATTGGTATAATGATAAATCTAATGTTTCTTGGACATGAAGTCCAAGTGTGTTTGTGAGGCACATGTGAAAAAGCTAAAATGATTTAAATGCATACATTAATGCAGAAGATCTTAAAGATTAATATTCACCTAAAACATACTTTTTCTTTTAGGACTCCTTTAGTGGGTAAAGAGTCATGGACAATGGTTTCAGCAAATGACCACAAATGCAAGACTGTTGTATGCACAAAGATGGAAGAACTCAACACTACCTACTATGGAGGAATGGTTGTTGAAACTGATAAGACTTAGAAAAATGCACATATTATCTACTTTGATTAGAGCAGTGTTTCTCAAACTGTGCAGCTCCAGGTGTTGTGGACTTCAGCTCCCAGAAATCCAGCTAGCTTACATCTGTTAGGAATTGTGGGAGCTGTAGTCCAAAACATCTGGAGAAGCACAGTTTGAGAAATACTGGGTTAGAGAAGGTCATTAGCAACCTTTCTCAAAGACTGGAAACACTTTATAAACTTTATGCAAAAAAGAAAACAATTTGTTAACTTTTGATTTGGGTGAATAAGCCATTCATCCAAATAAAAGAAAAAGCCATTCAAAAGAGGGAATCGACTTAATTTTGAAGAGAGAAGTAAAAATATCTACATTGCATATATAGATACTGTTATTAGAAGTTTGGAAGTTACTTCTTTCTTTCTTTTCTTCTTTATTTTTGAATTGTATTTTAAATTTTAAATTTATTTTAGTTTTAATCCTTTTTAAATGTCAGTATTTCCTCATGTATTATTTTAAAAGTAATTTCAAAAAAACAAAAGGAAATGTATACTCAACTATGCATTGAACTGTACCGTTTCATTATCTGCACCTAGACAGAGAAGGGTAGTCTGTTTTATTGGGGGGCAGGGATCGAAGGACGAAAAACATTTCCCCTGTTTTCCTGTTATTCCCCCAACCCATGTTGCCATTGTCACAACAACTGTTATTTATGAAATGAGATGTGTATGGGGCAGGGGGATAAAAGGCAAAATAGTTTTCCTCCTTCAACTCCAGTCCCTGCCCCACCCCCAAAATGGACTATCCATCTCTGTCTAGGCCCCCTTTTGGAGTTCATCCAGATAACGGAACAGTAGTACCCATTGAACCAAAGGAAGTAGTACTTTACTGCTTAAGGTTTTATTTTAAAAAACAAATAGGGCTGAAATATTATACAAAACTTAATTGAAGTGAATGGGACTAATGCCTAAGTAAATTGAAATAAAACATCAAGTTCAGCAATAATTCCAGTGTGATCTTTCACCTGGTTATTCAAAAATACACTAAGAGTGGCAAGCAACTGGGGTCAACTTTCACCCATAGAGCTGAAAACAGCAATGAGCATTGGTTCTGGTTGTAACTGTTATTGAAGACCCCCAACCCCACCCCTAATAAAAAGAAGACATAGTTTGATCCATGGGATCTGGAGTTTCCCAAGGATTGAATAAATCTAAATACCAATTCTATCAATGATGGAGAGAAATAAAATTTTCAGGAGCAGAAAATGAATGAAGACATAGTATTTTATCTTAATACAGTATGACCAGTATAGTGAATCAATTCAATCAAGGCTTTAAAATACATAAGTATAGTCACATGCATTTCAAAAGGGCAATTTAAAAATGACCATGTGATCTTAGAATCTAACAGAAATGTTTCTGGCCTACACAAGAGAACTGTACTTTATCTCGCCACTTGTATTAGTACAAAACAGCACCTATTTACTGTTAGTTTTAGTATAATAAAATTTTCAGAAAAGCTACTGGGATTTTAGCTTACCTCATTTCGCTCATCTACATCTTTGCATTTCTCTAGAAGTGCCTTCAAAGCAGGTACATTTTCTTCTTCTACGTAAGTCACCAAACTCTGAGACACCAAACCCGCCATCTTTGCATGAAAGGTCAAACTCTACACCAGTAATCTAAATTAACAAGACAAGCAGTGTTAATATGCCACTAATGTATTATTGTCATTGCACATACAGAGGAATACAAAACAGTGACTAAGAAGCAACAGCTACAACTTATTTCTGTTTTACAGAAGGGCTCTAAGTATTATGTTGTTTTTTAGTATCATGATAAAACCGAGCATTAAACTGATTAGAGAAATATCTTAAATTAATATTAATTCAGATCATGACAACATGTCAATGTAGGGGACAGTTACACCTATAAATTTACATGAAACTGTTTTGCATTTCATTAAAAGTTGCAAATTGTGTATGTAACATAAAGAAGAAAGAGGAGAAGGAAGAAGAAATGAATTGATAAAACAATATAAACAGGACAACTGTGGGATTAAGAAGTTAATTTTTCTGGTAGCCTTAATATATATTAAATTCTTAATAAATATAGGGATAAATATAGAATTAGGAAGGTATTTTATTTACTACATCACATATTAAAGAAATCATAAACACAAGAAATTATGATTGTCCAACATGTTTGAAACCAGCCACTTGTTATTATCAAAATCCTACTGTGCCAAACCACATGCACATGAGCTCATAGCACTTGTGGTTTAACATTTTTGCTGCTTGTGCAATGAACCATCCCAGACTTGGATGAACAAACTGAGGCTGAGACCTTGCCAATGGTAACTGTTGCAATGTGCCAACAACAGTGAACCTTTCATTACCACACTGGCTTTCCATTCCACTGATGATCAGTATTATAAAGTAACTGAAAGTAAATTTCAGTAGTAATACATATTTAATCTGGCCTAGTACAAGACGCCCAACAACAACAGCAACATGTGTAAAACAGAATGAATGCATTTTGTTCTGAAATTAATACATAGTGTGAAGTGATAACTTTAAAAAATACATTCTACCCAGCACACCATAGATCTTCAATCTGACATTACTTGGCTCTGAGTTACGCAGTTTGGTATAAAGATTTCAAGAACAGCAGCAACATAATAAGGACCCACAACCAGGGAAAACTCCCATTACTCCAACCCTAACCTGGCATTATTAAAAATGTTTACGTAATATCTGGTGAGATAAAACAGAAGTGACAACAATTTTGAGTTAGCAGCCATTCAAAAGTACTGTCATCTTCTCAAAGAAGCTTTATGAAACTATTTTCACCACAGATGAAAAAGCAACTGCTATTTCAACCTATATACATTTTGCTTATTTCCTTTCCTGATAACATAGCTGCTACACTAGTCATTCTTTTTGATGGTACATTTTTACTCCAGCTTCCATTTAAATCAGAGGCAGAAATATAACTGATGCAGCAGTAATACAGAAAAAAATATTTCAACAACCTGTTAGGCTAGATAGCTCTTCAAAGGCTAGCTATGACTGAAATATTTTCTTTGAGAATTTCATGCTGCCAAGTTAATAAAAGGAATAAAGAAACTAAGAAAGGCACAGAAATAAATGGCACCAAAATAAACAATTTCCAAATAAATAGTTATTGCTACTATTTCCCCTAAAACACCCCCCCCCCCCCCGGAAGAATACAACACACTGACAGTCAACATTTTGGGCAATTGGCTACAACAAATATAGGAAATACAAAGCACTAAAGAAAAAGAAGAATTGGCACTGTTCCATTATCCGGACAGACCCCAAAAGGGGGCCTAGACAGAGAAGGATAGTCCATTTTATGGGGGGGGGGGGAAGTTGAAGAAGGAAAACCATTTTCCCAATTTTCACTGGATAACCCCCCCCCTTTCCCATGTCAAATACAATGGTTGCTTCAATGATAGGGGAAATGGGGGGGGGGCAGGAGAAGAGGGGGAAATGGTTCTCCTTCTCTGTCTTTTGTGGCCCCCACCTGGATAATAAAACAGTAACAAAGAATCTTAACACTGGGTAAGCACCTCTTTCTAAACATGCCTGCCAACAAAGTTGGATCTGCTGTATATCCCTCCAACTGGAATAAAACATTATATGGCAACAGGGAATGGGCCTTCTCTGCTGAGATACCCTGATTGAGGAATGCACCTAACTACAGAGGCCTGATCTGCCCTCACTTTGTTCTCATTTTGGTGCCAAATTACTTTTCTCTTTTTTCCTTCATCTGTTACTTTTCGATCCAAATAACTATGGCTTAGCTCTGACTGACTGGGTTGTGAATTTTTGCCCACTGTGTTATCATTTTTATATCGTCTTATTTCCTGTTTACAGATATGTAAGACAGTAAAGTATACATAGCTATCTGTCTTTCCACCAGGCACAAAACATACACACACACACTCTAAAGTTGATCACAAAGCATACACATGCAAGACTAAATGAAACTTAGTCTGTATTCGTCTGTATACCAATCCTTAGATAAACAGATTCTAAGATAATGGAAGAAGGGTGACCTTCCCCAAAAAGCAATTTGAAGGGCAGATTGTCCAGATGCTGAGATAGCATTTCAGATGAAGTGATATTTTCTGCTTAATATCACTAGTCTCACAGTTTAAGCCCAAGAAATAGCCTTATTGATTCCTCAGTGGCAAAACATTAACCCCCTGTGTAATCTAACTCTCTCACTGGTCTTCAACTTCATAAGGAGCAAAAATAAATCCTATTGCATGTTAATTCACATTCAGTCTCAGTGAATCAATATTGTATAGGTCAAACCTGCTCTATAGTCTGTAGAACTTACTACTTATAAGTAGTACACTGGACCACTGGTGTCAGGCAAATACTAATTAAACAGTGTACTTTGAACTGCAACACTGTCATAGATGGCAAGTAATGCCTCACCGGGAACTTGGAAACAACAAGCAACTTTCTTCTAAGTACTTTGTAATGAGTGTATTACAAAGTTCTGGTCTCCATTACAATAAGACAAACTCTGAAGATAACTGATGACACATAAATATGTTATGTCTATCTTAGCTGAGATATAAGACGCTCATCATTAATCAGTAGTAAGAAGCAGCAACTAGCTATCACATAGATCCCGAATATCAGTAGTAGAAAGACCACTGAAAGACTTCCAGATTATCTTTTCCCAACCAAAGTACATATAAAAATGTTATCTGTTATTTGTTGTACTTATTTGTGTGTGTGTTTAGTTACTTTTAAAATGTTTAATCACTTAACTTCTGTATTTTGTCAATTTTAACTATGTTTTAATCAGTTATGACCTTCCTTGAGTCCCAAACTAGGGATAAGGTGGTATGATATCACTTGTTAGCATTTTTTAACTAAAAATGCTTTGTATTGTAAGTCATAATTACAAAACTGGACTAGTTAAAATATTGTACAAATGGTTGAATAACTAACATTAAAAGGCTAGCAAAAACCTTTTCTACAAATATTTCAAAAAACACCTTCTGTATACAATTCCCTCCCCCACTTCTATCCCTTTTTCCTTTTATATCTTACTTAGATTATAACCTGAAGGCAGGGTACTGTCAAATTAATTATTTGAAAGCTGCTTCAGCCTTTGTGGCTAAAAAAGAGGGGTATAAATACTATCTATATAAATAAAAATGTAATGTTAGTTTGTGGAATTAACATAACCCAAAAACCACTGGACGAATTGACACCAAATCTGGACACAATACACCTATCAGGCCAACGAGTGACCATCACTCATAAAATACTGAAAAATGCAGCAGAAGAGACTTAAAAAGCCAAATAACAAAAATACATTACAACACATGCACAAAACCACATATATATGCAAACACACATATATACACACATATACACACACACACATATAAAACACATATACACAGACTGGGCCACAGCAACGTGTGGCAGGGATGGCTAGTAAATATAATAAATAAGCTCTGAGGCAGGAACCTTACAATTAATCCCAAGATAAATGCTAGCTCAAAAAATGGGAGAATGATCCAAGGTAAAATACAGTTCAAGCAAATCTAATGAATGTTGAAAAACACTTGTTGTTGACCCTAACATATATTCAAACATATAGAAGTCACAGAACAAGATCAAAATAGATACCACAAAAATGTTAAGAAGATGTGAGGAACAAAATCCATAATCAGAAACATCACATGGAGCCAGCTAAGCAGAGAGGTTTTTCAATAGTGCCATACAATATGAACCCCTTATCCATGGATTTTATATCCATTGTTTTACTTACCCACTTTACCCCAAAATATCTACACCCTGAAAAAACCAAGAAGGAAAGATCTGGGCCCAGCTAAGAAAGTCTTATGGCACCTTAAAGACCAGTAAAAAATGTTTGAAAAATCTAATGAGCATGCGCTTCATTAGCATTTACTGAATGATGACTCAACATATGATATGTCTCACACTATAAAATAAATACTATACTTAGGACTTCTGCTTTTGGCCAGGACCAAGCTCATGATTTTTCTATCACTGTCAAATGAGACAAAATCAATGAATCATATGAGAGAATCTATCTGGGATGCCTTTCAGTAATGTTCGTTCTCCTGTGTGATACTTTATATCAGTAGCATTTTAATATCATTCCTTCCATATAAAACCTAAATGTAAAACTTCAATTCAAAATTTGTCCAGTTTTCCCACCTCCCAATTCCTCTTCTGCCTTTGCATATCTCAAAACTGCTCAATATCAATCAACAACATATAAAGCAAAATAAAAAAATCTCTATTAGTAGTTTTTCCCCACAAAAGTGGGGAAACTACTAATATAAGATCTTGGGGGTTTTTTATATGAGAAAACAATTCTCTTGGCATTTGTAGATCTTCCAAAACAATTCTGTGGTCAGCATCTAGTGGAAGGTGACCAAAAGTAGTAAAGGTCAGTACTAATAATCTGTTAATATTTATGGGAGCACAAAACTGTTAAGATTTTGTCAGGCATGCAACGCTCCTTATTATCGTGAAACAGACAGGGCAGCTGTTTCCTCAGAAAGAAAGCAATTACAGTACTCTCCACTAAAAAGTGATCACAATTAACAGATGCATTGTGTCAAACATTGGAGTGGGTGAGGTTGTACTACACACAGAAAAAGAAGAAATGCTGCATACACATCTGTGCAGGAAATATGAGAACTTTACATATTTATTCAGAAATATACAGAATGAACACAAAGGCAGCACACATTTTGCAATGTCATGCTTACTAAAAAATACTGCTGAAACATCATCATTAAAATTGTTGTTATTTTAATGTACAACCTGTGCGCCCCCCCCCCCAAAAAAACCCCTTGGGATGCAAAGTGGCTTTGTCAACTTCAATGATAGCGAACGAACTGTCATGAAAATGTTAACAGCAATTTCCTGACATTTATGATTATTCAAAATTTATTGTTCTACCTCCATATGTTTGTGTGCACCTTAAAGTTACCTATGAAATAAGAGCCATCCCCTCAATTGCATAGAGGTTTTCCCTCAGAGATTGTTTTCCCAGGTCTTTCCTCTAAAATACAGGTTGAGAATCCCTTATATGAAAATTCAAAATATTCCAAAATTCAAAATTGCCCACTTGGGTGGCTGTTTCATGTACAAATTTGTTTAAAATCCTGTGTATAAAATTTTCTTCCTTGGAATGTGTATAGGGTATATATGAAACAGAAATGAATGTCAAATTTAGACTTGGGTGCTATCTCCAAGATATCATGTATGTATTGCCAATCCAGGTATTCCCTCCAAAATCCCAAGCACTTCTGGTCCCAAATATTTCAGATAAAAGATACTCAATTCTTTATATAGTATTGCCAATGTGTATACAGTAATGCCAACTTGTATAAGATTAAATAGCCAGTTTCATATCCATATAACTGTAATGAGTATACAGTTATGCCAACCTGTATAGGATTAAATAGCCAGTTTCACATCCACATAACTGTAATGTGCATATAGTCATGCTACCCTGTATAGCAGTGGTTCTCAACTTGAGGATCCCCAGATGTTTTGGCTTTCAGCTCCCAGGAATCCTAACACCTGGTAAATTGGCTGGGATTTCTGGGAGTTGAAGGCCAAAACACCTGGGGACCCACAGGCTGAGAACCAATGCTGAATAGGATTAAATAGCCAGTTTCACATCCACATAACTGTACTGTGAATATAGCCATGCCAACCTGTATAGGAAATTGTTACCAGTTTCACATCCACATAACAGTAATGTGCATACAGCCACACCAACCTGTACAGGATTAAATAGTCAGTTTCCCACCCACATAACTGCAATGTGTATATAGCCATGCCAACCTATATAGCAGGCTCCTCAAACTGTGACCCTTCTGCTTTTTTAGGCCTTTAACTGTCAGAATTCCTGACAACTGAACAAGCTTGTTAGGGCTTCTGAGAGTTGGAGGCCCAAATGGCTGGAGGTCCGCAGTTTGAGGATGCCTTGCTGTATAGAATTAAATAGCCAGTTTCACATCCACATAACTGAAATGTGTATATAGCCATGCCAACCTGTATAGGATTAAATAGCCAGTTTCACATCCACATAACTGTAATGTGTATATAGCCATGCCAACCACAGCCACAGACCCGTACCTAATATTATTGTTGCCTGCCATAGCATTGCACTTAATTTCCGGGCCTCCTAGAATTTTTGGGCTTGCACAAATCTTGGCCCAGCCTTTTAAATTTTTAATTGCCTTGAACAAGCAGGATTACTTTTAATATATGTGTGTTATGGTGACAATTTTAATGCTTATATTTTGTTTTGTTAATCTTATGGTTATGTTGTTTTTACTTTGAATCTTTTGTGATGTTACCTGGGAACCTCTCTGAGTCCCCTCAGGGAGATGGAGCGGTATATAAATTTTGATTATTTATTTTTATTATTAACCTGTATAGGATTAAATAGCCAGTTTCACATCCACATAAGGTAATGTGTATATAGTAATGCATAGGATTAAATAGTCAGTTTCACATCCACATGGCTGTAATGAGTATATAGTAATGACAACCTGTATATGATTAAATTACCAGTTTCAAATCCACATGACGGTAATGTGTATATTGTAATCCAACCTGTATGATTAAATCACCAGTTTAACATCCACATAACTGTAATGTGTATATAGCAATGCCAACCTGTATAGGATTAAATAGCCAGTTTCACATCAACATAAGTATACTGCTAAAGTATATACAGGCAGTCCCCGAGTTACAAACAACTGAGTTACAAAAGACTTATAGTTAAGAATGGGGATGAGGCAATAGGAAGTAAGAGAAATCTTCTCATCAGAAGGGAAATTAATAGGGACAAAAGGTAAAGGTAAAGGTTGTCCCCTGACATTAAGTCCAGTCATGTCTGACTCTGGGGTGTGGTGCTCATCTTCAGTTCTAAGCCAAAGAGCCAGCACTGTCCAGACACCTCCAAGGTCATCTGGCCGGAGGTAAAGGTAGTCCCCTGACATTAAGTCCAGTCATGTCTGACTCTGGGGTGTGGTGCTGATCTCCATTTCTAAGCTGAAGAGCCAGCGTTGTCCGTAGACACCTCCAAGGTCATGTGGCCGGCATGACTGCATGGAGCGCCGTTACCTTCCCGCTGGAACGGTACCTATTGATCTACTCACATTTGCATGTTTTTGAACTGCTAGGTTGGCAGAAGCTCACGCCACTCCCCGGAATCAAACCTGCGACCTTTCAGTCAACAAGCTCAGCAGCTCAGTGCTTTTACCCACTGCGCCACTGGGGACCAAAGTAAGGTGAAATCTCCAGAAGAGGGGCACAGACAGCAAAGGAAACACCAGAGGGCTGTGAACCTTTAATAAACTTTATTTATACCCCACCACTATCTCCCTGAAGGGACTTGGGGCGGTTAATCTTTCCTACGCTGTCCAAAGTAGCAATAAATAAATAAATAAGTGTGTGTGTTTGGCTGGAATGACACTTTAAAAATGTACCTAATCCGACTTGCAAACAAATTCAACTTAAGAACAACATTTAGACCCTATCTTGGGAACTGCCTGTGCAGAAATGCCAACCTGGATAGGCTTGAATAGCTAAAAACAGCCTTGCCAGTGTGCACAGAGGAATGTCAACCTATATGGGATGGCACAGCCCGTTATAATAAATGCAGAGTTAAAAAAACAAAGAGAACAAGACGCCTTCCAGCCTGACAGGAACTGCTGGAAGGGGGCTGCTTAAACCCCAACTTGTTGAAGAGCCCTCTTTTCCCTCGGCGAAACCCTTCCACGGCGGCGAGGGCAGGCTAAGGAATATGAAAGGATCCTGCTTGGGCGGCTCCCCTGCCTTTGTCAGGTGCCTTGCGCGACCACCAAGCCCCTCCCCGCCCCTTCCTCACACCCGCCACCCGGGCCCTGGTTGACTTACCAGCAGGAACAGATGAGGAAGGAAAGGAGAAGGTAGTGACGGTGCTACAACAGGGCGGCGAAAGAGAAAGAAAGCGACTGGGTCTTATTAGCAAGCGCCTGTCTCGCTGAGGCACCTCTTTGAGGAGACCGAGACGGCGGCCATTTTGACTCCTCCTCTCGCCGGATAGCCCCCCCTCCCAAAAAAGACTCCGTCACGTGATCCGCGGGAGGGAGGGAGGGGCGCGCGAGCCAGGCCTTGAAGGCGTTGCCACGGAAACAGGAGGAGGGCTGAGGTGGCGTTGCATCTGAGGCCCTTTCCACACAGCCACATAACCCAGAATATCAAGGCAGAAAATCCCACAAAGTATCTGCTTTGAACTGGGTTATTTGAGGTTTATCTCCAGCCCCTTCTACACTGCCATATGAAATCCAGGTTATCTGCTTTGAACTGGGTTTTCTGATAGTGTTGCTTCCAGATAATCCAGTTCAATGCTGATAAAAAGGGGAAGTTGTAGGTTTTTTCGGGCTATATGGCCATGGTCTAGAGCAGTGGTTCTCAACCTGGGGTCCCCAGATGTTTTTGGCCTACAACTCCCAGAAATCCCAGCCAGTTTACCAGCTGTTAGGATTTCTGGGAGTTGAAGGCAAAAAACATCTGGGGACCCCAGGTTGAGAACCACTGCACTAGAGGCATTCTCTACTGAAGTTTCGCCTGCATCTATGGCAAGCATCCTCAGAGGTAGTGAGGTCTGTTGGAACTAGGCAAATGGGTTTATATACCAGGGTGGGACAAAGGACTCTTGTCTGCTGGAGCTAGGTGTGAATGTTTCAACTGATCACCTTGATTAGCATATATTAGCAGACAAGAGTCCTTTGTCTCGCCCTGGTCATTCCACAGATATATAAACCCTTTTTCCTAGTTCCAACAGACCTCACTACCTCTGAGGATGCTTGCCATAGATGCAGGCAAAACATTAGGAGAGAATGCCTCTAGAACATGGCCATATAGCCCCAAAAAACTTACAACAACCCAGTGATTCTGGCCATGAAAGCCTTCGACAATACAAAAAGGGGAAGGTTTCTCCTGACATTAAGTTGTCCTTAGACACCTCCAAGGTCATGTAGCCAGCATGACTGCATGGGGTAGCTTTACAGATAAGCAAAGCAGATATCCTAGATTTTATTTGGAAGAGTGGAGAAGTCCCCAAAATACCATCAAGAGTGTACAAGAGTGTTTAGGCATTAATCATTAAATTCAGTTAAATATAGTTAATTCCACAGGATGAAGAAATCTGTCCTTTTTTTTTTTTTAGAGTAACGGGGATTATTATGTTTATTTATACCTTGCTTTTTCTCTCCACAAAGGAGACTCATAGGCCCCTTCCACAGGGCTGAATAAAATCCCACATTATCTGCTTTGAACTGGAATATATGGCAGTGTGGATTCAGATAACCCAGTTCAAAGCTATATCCAAAGATGTTGTGGGATTTTCTGCCTTGTTAGAGGATATGTAATTGGTTAAGCGAACGAACCCAGAGGGTGCTGCTCCCCAATGCTTCCTCTTCATCCTGGAAAGAAGTGACGAGTGGGGTGCCATAATCAGGGTTCAGGCCTGGGCCTGTTCAACCTCTTTATTAATGACTTACATGAAGGGTTGGAAGGCAGGATCATCAAGATTGCAGACGACACTAAATTGGGAGGGATTGCCAATACCCCAGAAGACAGGAGGAGAATTCAAAATCATCTTAACAGATTGGAGAGATGATTGGCCAAAGCCAGTACAATGAAATTCAACAGGGACAAATGCAAGATACTCCACTTAGGCAGAAAAGATGACATGCAAAGATACAGAATGGGGGATGCGTGGCTCAACAACAGTACATGTGAAAAAGATCTTGGAGTCATCTCTGGACAACAAGTTAAACATGAGCCAACAATGTCATGTGGTGGCAAAAAAAAAAAAGCCAATGGGACCATCCATAGGAATATAGTGTCTAAATCCAGCGAAGTCATGCTCCCCCTCTATCCTGCTTTGGTCAAACCACATCTGGAATCACACTGTGTCTAATTCTGGGTATAGCAATTGAAGGGAGATGTTGACAAGCTGGAATATGTCCAGAGGAGGGCAACTAAAATGATCAAGGGTCTGGAGAACAAGCCCTATGAGGAGCGGTTTACAGAGCTGGGCATGTTTAGCCTGCGGAAGAGAAGACTGAGAGGAGACATGATGAGGGCCATGTATAGATACGTGAGGGGAAGTTATAAGGAGGAGGGAGCAGGCATGTTTTCTGCTGCCCTGGAGACTAGGATGCAGAAGAATGGCTTCAAACCACAGGAAAAGAGATTCCACCTGAACATTAGGAAAAACTTCCTGATTGAGAGCTGTTCAGCAGTGGAACTCTTTGTCCTAGAATGTGGTGGAGGCTCCTTCTTTGGAGGCTTTTAAACAGAGGCTGGATGGCCATCTGTTGGGGGTGCTTTGAATGCGATTTTCTTGCTTCTTGGCAGGGGGGTTGGCCTGTATGGCCCACAAAGTATCTTCCAATTCTAGGATTATGAGTTATATGGCTGTGTGGAAGGGCCCAAAGTGGCTCAAAGTTTGACCTACCTATGCAGATTTATTTATTTATTTACAATACTTCTACTCCGCCTTCTTGAACCTGAAGGTGACTCAAGGCAGCTTTACAACATAGGCAGCTATTCAATGTCATTAAAACAATGTAAAAATTATAATAAACATTTAAAGCAGAATTATAAAATACATACATTAAAACCTTTATAAATATATAAAACCATCATCCAAAAACATCAAATAAGCCATTTCATTATTCGATTTTACATAGTTCTGTGTTTATATCTATTGCACTAGGTTCCCAAAGGCTTGTTCAAAAAGCCATGTTTTCACTTTTCTGTGGAAGGTCAGGAAGGCAGGGGCTGATCTAATATCCCTAGGGAGGGAGTTTCACAGCAGAGGGGCCACAACTGAGAAGGCCCTGTTGCTAAATGGGAAGGGGAGGGGTCTCAATTTGCTAGATTTTAAAGAGGCATAGGATTTGGTTGCCAATTCCTCAGAAGGAGGAGGTAATGTTCATTGACCCTTTCTCCAAAGAAAAAAGGTGCATCAAAATGTCCCTTGACAAATCAATATTGGGCTCTAATGCAAGCTTATTGTGGAGCAAATATTCAACCTGTAAAGGATACATGTACACTCCTGCCATAATTTGGAAATAATTCTTCCAAGGTTTGTTTTTGGAAGCTGAGTTATCTTCAGTGGCATGGCTGAGGTTGGTACATAAGATATGACATTGCCAGGGCTGATTCAAAACAAAGCTTGTATCCTCCCAGATTCATTCATGAAATTTCACTCCAGATCCAGGAAACATTTTTCGGTAGTGTTCCATTATCCAGGAGGACTCCAAAAGGGGCCTAGACAAAGAAAGGATGTTCATTTTATGGGGGAGGGGGGAGTTGAAGGGGGAAAACCATTTTCCCCATTATCCCCCCCCCCCCTTTTCCCTTATATTTTTTACAACCATGACATGGGTGGCAAGGAATAACAAGAAATCGGGATAAAATGATTTAACTCCTTCAACCCCCTTCCCCAGTAAAATGAACTATCCTTCTCTCTCTAGCACTCCCCTAGTGGCCTCCACCCAGATAATGGAACAATACCCATATTTCTCTTATAATCAAACCCTACTATGTTTTCCCACAGCCTATTCCTCTGGACTGGAATGAAACACTGGGAGCTTTCGATCTGGAAACAGTCTTAGTCAGGAGCTACTTTGTTTCAACAATCCTTGCTCTTATGAAGCTCAAACTCCAAGTACTGTATTGACCTATAAGTGGTCCTGTCACTGAACTTAATCTAGGAACTTGAAGGGCAATTGTCTATTCAATTCTGATGATTTGCCGTCTAAGGGTAGATCTACACAATAGAATTAATGCAATTTGACGCCACCTTAAATGTTATAGATCAGTGCTATGGACGCATGGGGGTTGTAGTTTGACAAGGTCTGTAGGTTTCTGTCAGAGTGCTGGTGTCTCACCAAACTACCAAGGTCCCAATATCATAGAGCCATGGCAATTAAACTGGTGCCAAACTGCATTGGTTATTTAGTGTGCTAGTCCACTTCTTTCAGTTGCAGAAGAACACGCTGTTCTACTCCCAGTAGAGTTCAGTAAAATTCATTTGTTGGTTCTATGACCTTCTGACTTCCACCAGGGTACTTTGCCCTTAGTTTTAGGAACCAAAGTACAAATAGGTGATGTCTGCAGTTTTGCCGTTTTTTTCAGCTCATGTTATGATTTCTCTCCTCAAAGCAGCTTTTAGGTAACAGGCAAAGCTTCTCTTCTCCAAGGCTTTTAACTGCCTTTCATATTTACCTTTTAAACAGTGGAAGCTTTTACTCTGTGCCTCACTATGTCATTTATTGTACTTTTATAGTTGCATTTCTAGGTTAGTTCCCTCAAGTCCTTCTTGCCCTTTGAACTTTATCTAGCAACTGAGGGTGCATCTGAACTGTTGAATAAATGCAGTTTGACTTCACTCTAAATGTCATGGTCAACACTATGGAATCACAGGAATTGTAATTTTACAAGATTTTTGGCATTCTCTCTGCCAAAGAGTGTTGGCACCACACCAAACTACAAATCCCAGGATTCCATAGCAGTTCAAGTAGCATCAAACCACGTTAATTCTACAGTGTAGATGTATCCATTGTTAAAGTACAAATAAAACCATAATTCTATGCAGATTTGAGTTACATCCTGCAGAATTCAATAGAATTTGCTTCCAGCACTTTCAATGAATTGCATTAACCTTAGGAGTTCATAAACCCTTAAGCTGGATTTCAGCACATGCAGAATTATTAGAACCATTATTTAATCGATATAAGCCACATGACATAGTTTTTATTGCAAAATCAGTTATGTTTCCTTTATTTAAAACACACACAAAATACCCTGGCCTCCTCACATATTGCTGTCATTCAGAGTTAGTGATCCACACTCTAGCACTGCCAACACAGGTACAAAAGGGAGTGCCTTCTCTCTATAAACATGTTAAAAGCAGGTTATGGGTAATTGCTAGCATCAGTACTTGCGGGACTGAAATGAGAGTCTAAAAACAGTAGCTGTGAGTCATGTAAAATGCTAGCTGTATATGCATTGCATATATACCTCTTGG